ACATTCGACGGCACCAGCCTCGCGTTGCCCAGTGCCCCAACAGCACCCAAGCCAACGGCACAACACAGCGTCGTCAGTTGCCTTCATCAACATCCAAAGAGAAGCCGGCGTCACCACCAGTGACGCCTGAAACTAGCTCCTGCTCAGCAAGCTGTGCTGTTATCTGCGCCCAAAGCCCTCATCGCAGCACCGAGGTCTGCGAAGCAGAAGACTGACTCCCGCCCGGTGCTCGCCACAAAACTCCTAACGCCGGCACACAACATCACCGCCGACCTCACACAAGTCCCAACATCAGAACCGCCTCGGACCACCTTCGCAGAATCAGCGAGAGCTGTCAACAGCACTAGTGAGACGCCTGCCCTACTTCCGTCAGGGTCAGACTTTACTGGCTTGCAACAACAAATCACCCTTTTCACAAAACAAATGCTGGCAGCCACGCAGCGAATTCCGACGATGCAAAACTCGCTGTTTACTCTCGTGGATACCTGCACCCGTGCAGTAATCGGGCGCCTCGCGATGCAGGGCATCATTCCGTTCGGCGGCCCCCCACTATCACCACGCAAACATGGTTAGCGCCCCCAGGATTGTTCAGTGGAACTGTTGCTCGCTTAAACAGAAGAAGGCAGACTTCATCGAAAAATTTTATCTTCACTCGTCATCCGACATGGCCGCTGCGTTTGCTCTACAAGAAATCAACGGCCCCCTCCCTTCTTTGCCACAGTACGATGGACTTGCTCCGAACATTGAGACTAGTGCCCCCTTGCCTTGGATTCGTTCCGCCCTGTACGTTCATCGATCAGTGTGCTTCACTCTTCTCGACACCTCACAGAGGTGCTCTGCAATGACCAGCGTTACGGGTTGCCGCCAATTCCTCAACGGCCCGTTTTTCTCTTCTCTGTCTATGTGGCTCCAGACACATCGCTAAACCGCTGGACAAGGCAGCCGCTAAACATCCCTTTTTTTAAGCACTTCGCCCGTCTTTATCCAAAAGACGACGTTCCCGTTTGCGGTGATCTTAATGCCAAACACACGCATGGGGCTACGACATTGACCTTCCCCACGGCACGCGGCTTCTTGCAGACCTCACAGGGCTGAAACTTTCGTTCCTCAACATCCCAGACACCCCCACACGTATCAAACAATCCTCCCAACAGCAGGACACCTGCCCCGACTTTACCTGTGCTCGTTACCCTCGACGCTGGAGATGGCATGTCGCCGGCGACCGCCTCGGCGGTGATCACCTCCCCATTATTTTACGCTACGACTTCCTATCCGCAACCCTATCTCACTGTCGCGCCTGCTGCGACACATTCTTCACTAAGTGGGACAACTTCCGAGCAGCTCTTTCTTCTGTCATGGAACTTGCTGGCTTTTCCGACATTATACAAGCTATCCAGTCCGCCCACAAGTCTGCCACAAAGCGGCTAACCGTACCGGACGATGCCGCTTTGACGAGCATTTACTTACTGGACCGCCGCATTCACCTGTTGGCCTGTTACCGCCGTTCTCGCAGACCACGACGACTCCTCAAACCTTCACATAAACTCCAAAAGACTATCTCGTGCTACACTTCGGAACTCGCTTCCAACTGCTGGACTTCCCTGTGCAGATCCATCTCCGGCAATAGCCATCTTTCGAAAGTTTGAAGGCTCCTCCGTTCTCTCCTCGGGGACCACAAACCTAGGCAATTTGCTGCCACTGTTGCCCTTCGCAAAGGTGTCTCTCCCGAGGAGCTAGCTGAACGGGCCTCGGACGTCTTTTTTCCGCAACCAGCGCAACATGACTCTGGATGCTACACTTGTGTTCACCCTGTCACCAAGCTCTTGGGATGGATTGCCCGTTCACCCTCCACTCGCAGTGCACCTGGCCCCCAACAACGTCACAGTCGGGCAACTTCAGAACCTCCCTACGGCACTCAAGGAAACCATACTCGCCGAGATCAACCAGGTGACTCCAGACTACTGAAGCCCCAGGAGTCCCTGATCGCTGCCACTTGTCTCATTCGCCCTGGAAGCTCCCGAGAAGATTAAAAGCTTTTCCTCTTTTTATGCCCAAACAGCAGGGCAGATATGGTGGCCACTTCTTTGGTCGTTAAATAAATGTTTCAAAGCAAAGGTAGATGGTCATGATGAAAGAAATCAAGGACGTTAGGATTCCTGTCAGAAGTACTCAACGCAATAAAATGTTGTCCAAACTTGCCAGGTTTTAATTTTAGATTGGTTGCACACTACACGACAGAGTAGCGAGCATTTGATTATTCTTAATTTTTAACTAGGACTGATTAAATTAATTTCAATACTTTTGGATGTTTTATTTTAATACACACATATCCTCTAAAAAGGGCGGAAATGTAGTGGTTAATAAAGAAAAATAGACGTAATGGTGGGGCCACAGTCGACTCCTAGCAGAACTGTTTGGTGGGGCAACAGGCAGACTGAGATTAAAGCCCCTCTATCCTGGGAAAAGTGGCGCCATTCATTGTTGTGGAAATTCTCGAGACACGTACCGTGTGCCACTTCTGGGAAGGACATGGCGTCTGAAATCTAGCTCAGTGCTGCGCTGTGTCGCCATGATCTTCCCAAGGGCTGCATGTTGCACGTGCCTCGTGCATCGACGCACTTTGCGCTACTTTTAAAACATGAAGGGGCTTTAACTGAGATGCCATTGCGTGTGCCACAGGCAAAAATTCAAGATGTTGAAAACAAGCTGTTGCATTGTAAATTGTGCGAATTACTAAAATTCTCCGTCAATATGCCCCAGCAAATGAAGATTAGAGGGTTTACAGATTAAACCAAAGGAAGATGTCTGTCACCCCAGAGGAAGAACATGTGGGGACCTTGACGTGCAACCAAAATTTCACCATCAATAGCGCTGAAATCAGTAACGACACTACCGTAAACCAATTTTGCTCCCAGGTGGGCCGCCGGAAGCGGCGTTGGTAGCCACAGCACATGGTCGTTGTTGGAACTTTCGCGCATAATGCAGAAGAGGATCATGCCCTCTTTAGGTGTCACACGCTCCCATACCATCTTTAGTGTTTGTGTGTATGGCGCGTGCTTTGGACGGTTTCACAACTGACGACCACGCGCATGCTAGGCTGTGAAGATTACACGCTGGGGCGTGGGTTTGTAAACAATGGAAAAGTGTATGAAATTTAGCATGCACAGTGCACAAACTCTATTTTCAGTACACAAATATTGCGACTACTATATCGGACAGAGGTACGCGCTACAGTTTGCAACAAATTCTTGTGCCGACATGAGCAGTCTGAGGCATTCCAACTACTTGTCATGACAGCCACTTTCAGTTCACAAAAGTTGGTTTATTATATGTTCTCCAAGTCTTTGGCATTAAAAATGAGGTTGATTCCTTTGTGACACTGCCGTGCCGGGCTGTGGCCGGCGGTGAAACTGCACAGCCCACCAGCGACGGCAAGCAACCAACTGAGCGTCCAGAGCTAGGAACCAAAAGGCACCTTTATCACACGAGGCAATGGCTTTTTACACAAGACGTGGGCACAGTGTTTGCAACCCGATTACCGAAAGTGTCCAAACTTGGCACTAGCACCGCCCGCAAAATCCCCCCTTTAGAATGTTCAAGGAGAGTATCGGACACCTTGGCTGTGAAAAAAAACAAAGTTTTACAGATTGAGTCTCTTGGGAGCGACCACTTGTCTTCCAGAATGGGTTGAGTAGTGTCGGCCCGTACCATCACCACGAACACGTGGTGGTGATGCTGGACGAGGCACATCACGATGACGCGAGTAGACAGGTCCACCTGAGGCCGAACCGTCGACGGAAGCTAGGGGTGACGCCGGCCTCGGAGAGACACAACAGCACCTGCCGCAGGCGTTGGTCATGTTCCTTTTTCGTTCTGCCGAAGACTAGGATGTCGTCGACCATGTTGACCAATTCCGTCTAGGACTTCCAAGATCCACGCCACCTGTCGCTGGAAAAACTCAGGGGCCGACGTGATGCCAAATGGGAGTCGGCAAAAGCAATAACGCCCATACGGCGTAATGAACATCGTAAGCTCTTGAGAGTCCTTGGAAAGCTTGACCTGATGGAAGCTTGAGGTAACTTTGAGCTTCGAGAAGACTGCCGCATCGCCCAGAAGTCCCAGGACTTGATCGACGGTGGGGAGCACATGACGTTCTCTCGGGACAACTTGATTTAATTTTGTAAAGTCGATACAGACACGGTAACCTCCCGACGACTTTGGAACCATGAACAGTCCAGCGTCCCGAGGTGTGGGGGTTGGTGACACGCCGAATGGCTCCGTCTTGCTCCAGTTTGGCCAGTTCTGTTTGCACCACCTCGCGCAGGGGTATCGGTATGCGGCATGGAACACTAAGTGAAAACGGAACCGCATCCGGGCGTAGCCGAATCTTGTACTCCTCCTTGAGCGTGCCGAGACCTCTGAAAAGTCCCTGCGGGTGCCGGCACTTTCATGTCGTCCAAGAACTTTACCACACCCAGAGCCTGGATGGCTGGGAACCCGAGCAGGGGCATAGAGAGGGACTTGATCACGTACAGACGCTGATGACCGGTCTTGCCTCGCCACAGGAGGGTAGCCATGAAGTACCCAATGACTTTTAGCGACTGGTCTCCTGGTGCTGTCAGCAGGTCGTCGACCTTGTCCAGATGATGAGGTAAGTTCGGGAAGGCTTCCGAAACAGCAGACGCCTCCGCGCCGGAATCTACCTTGAATATCGCCGTGTAGTTGTCGACATTGACCTCAACGTACTTGGCCTTGGCCTTCTCAGTCTCGAGGATTGCGTGGAGCGGTAAGGAACGCCACCTTGCTCTGCTTTCGTTTCCGAGCGCAACAGACGTCCGCGAAGTGGCCCTTCTTCTTGCAATAATTGCACAGAGACTGCCGAGCAGGACAGTT